AAAAAGTGTAAAAAAAAAAAAAAAAAAAAAAAAAGTCAAATCATGAGTTAAAATCCTGGCTAAGAGACTGGAGTTAATCATGCTCTAATGAGTTCCATTTATGTTTTAGGATCTTATTATATAGAGTTTTCTCTCATGTAAAGTTGTGATGTCACTAATTAGTCTTTTAATGTGATGACATGTGTCAATTTAAAATTTCATTTCTCTTTCAGTAATGTTCTTATTGAGTTTTTCATATCAATAATTATTTTGAGCTTATTTTTGGACCGAAAAGCATTGTGTTATGTATTTGATTAACGGATCCATAACTACTACTATTTTCAACAATTTTTCGAGGCCGTCAGAGGTTGCCACTGTTGTTAACTAAACGACCATAAGAATCCGGCTGGGTTCTGGGGGTTGGAAATCCGGTTAATCTTAGGTGGAAACAGTTGTTGGTCTCAGTTCATTTAACTCCTTGCTTACTTTAGAAAACCTGGAATGTTATAGAGCTCATATGCATTCAATCCTGCTCATTAATCTCCCAATTAACTCCATCTCCTCATTACTTCAACGAAAATTACTATATTTCCCGGTTAACTATACCGAATCTTTTATCTTTTTGAATTTATTTCTATTCTATTTGGGCGGATAGCGGGAATCGAACCCGTTTTCACATTCATTGCATCTTTTTTTCTCTCCCAGGTGAATCTGCATTTATAAATAGCTTAGATTGTATCCTCAAATTCACAATTTTATTCCTCATAATTTAAATGACGCTAAACTCATTCACAAGATTGATCCTGATATTGAGTGATTAGGAACTGAGAAATTGAGGAAACATCACCGTCTATGTAAGTCATGCCATGGAAAGTGCACATGTTATTCTTAGGAGACCAGTCTAAGGGGGGGGGGTAGATTATTTTCAGATTTTTTCAAAGACTTATAAGATGATACAGTTCTCCGTACAAAGATTGAGATGGTCAAGCTTAAAGTGAAAAAGAAAAGAAAGTAATAGTTGATATAGAGGGAGAAAGACATAATCCTCATTGATTTTTAGTGAGATGTGTAAAAGTAGAAAGCTGAATGGGTAAATTTAAGATGTTAATTCTATCATTAAAGAATAGCTGGAAGTTCTAAGAGAAATACAGAAAATCGAGAGCTACCGACAGTAGCATAAAAACGAAGAAATATTTATCAAATGGCCAAAGAAAGATAAGTCAAAGCTGTGCACGACTTGTCATGTTATTATTCTTCTGGTTTTGTTGTATTATCGATAAAATTTAACTCTGGTTACAAACAAAAAAATGTTCTTCACCAATATTTAAGAAAACATACAAAAATAAAAAATGCTAAGTATTGTATATGTTACAAATAAAAAATAATTAATGCAAGCATATACAAAATTTAATAAAATAATGACATCGCAAAATTTTGAATCTACAACTTTTTCTAAGTGAATGTTAGAATAACCCAGGTATTTGTCAAAACATGGAAAAATGTTTAATAAGTGTGATTAGGGAATATGATCAATTCTTTCATTAGCCTTTATTACCTTTATTACTTCCATCATAAATTGATTTAAATTATATCTAACTATTATATTCAATCACTTAGCTTGGCTCAAAATACAAAAAAAAAAGTTTATTATGATTTTTGATTTGGTGTTAGTTTCAGTTTTTCGATATAAAATTATAAATACAAATTTTCGTATAAATAAAATTTATATATTTAAATAAGTAAACTATGTATTTTATCTTTTGTGCAATATTTCTTTTCACCCTATTTGATTATATATATGTTGTAACACACAAATTCCATATTCATAAACTCAATATTAATTCTTTGATTATTCGCGGGATAACTTTACTCAGATTAAATGTTTCACTTTAATCTTTCTTACAGAGCGAAGATGGAGAGATAATATTTAGCAAAAAAAAAAGAAAAAAAAGATAAAGATATAATAGATTGAGTTCCAATATATAGCCAACTAGATTTTGATCATCCTCTGCTTAAAAACAACACTATCCAGGTTTGACTTCATTCAAAATCTATCTTTTGTTTATATATGCATCCATGATCATAGATATTGAAATGTCAAGTTTTTCGCACGTAGATGAGGCCTAGCTTTATACTGGAAAGTACGTCTACGTACACCAAGAATCCTACAACTGTTAGTCAGGTGTGACACAAGAGCGGTATATGTCCAGAAAATACAGTTCCGATAAGAAGAATAAAGAAAGAAGATATCCTACGAACATAATTCATTGAGAAATTTTTGAAAAAGATGATGACTCCAGGCATCCTTTTATATGGTTCAAGTAGTGTTCATGAAGATACTACGTTTGCTATAAGATAATCTCTAAGGTCTTGTACCAGAGATTGAAGAAGGTTTTTCCCAACCGAATATCTAAAACTTAGTCGTTCATTGAGGCAGTTATGCGAAAAATGGGATTCTCAGATACATGGATAAACTGGATAATGCTCTATATGACATCTGTGAAGTAGAAGCTACTTATGAATGGTTAACAAAGAGGAAATATTGTTTCGCAGAGAGGACTACGTCAAGGAGATCATTTGTCTCCTTTCATTTTTATTCTATGCACGGACGCGCTCGTTAGCCTTTTTAATCATGCAGAGTGTCAGGAAAAGATA